GCTCTGGAAGCAGACTGCCCGGATCTCAGTTAGGGCTCAGCCACTTATTAGCCGTGTGAGCTGCGGCAAGTTAATTATATGCTCTCTGCTTCACTATCCTCACTGATAGTAAAAAAATGGCAATGATCGTAATAACTGTATCTGCTTCATAGGTTTATGGTAAGGATTAAATATGTTAAAACTGGTAACATATTGGGGCACTGCCTGACATGTAAGAAGTCCTTGATTAAAAATAACCAAACTTCTGCAATGCCTGTAGCAGCCTTATGAGATAGGTTCTATTATCATCTGCATTTTCACAGATGAAACTGAAGCACAAAGAGGGGAAGTAGTGTCCCCCAAAATCACACAGCTGCAAGTGTTGTTTCATTTGTCTCCTCTTCACCCTGTTGGTGAGAGAGGGGTTTCTACACTAGGGTTGTGGGGCTGGCCACACACATGACACCACACACTGGACAGATGAGACAGCAGTTTGGTTGTCACACACGCTCACAGCCTGGGGAGGAGGACACTGTCTACCTGGCCGGGCCACATGGGGCTTCAAGAGCACAGTGAGCAGGCAGGGCCTGGGGGAGGCAGATTTGTAGTTACAAGACGGGGAGGTGGGCCCTGGTTCCTGCTGGGGAGTGTGAGTGGCTTGTTTCAGTAATTCTGCAGGCTGGCAGGGAACTGAAACCTGCTACCCAAAGGTAAGCAGGAATTGTGTGCCTCATCCCCTTGGCAAGGCTGCTGTTTGGCTGGGGGACCTTCTGTGTGGGAGCAGAGTGGGGAGGGAAGCTTGTGGTGAGGCCTTCTGAGGCCCTTTTGATTTTGTCAGATGTCAAAGCAGCACTTAATATTGGGCCTCAATTTCAGGCCTTATGCCTCAGTGATCTAGTGGGGATTAGGGCCTGGGCAGGCCGAGTCTAGGTCTGAGCTCACCTTCACTATTCTGCATTCCCTGAAATTTAGACAAAGTGGCTGTTTTCTAAACATGTCTTACATTCTCCATCTCGACACACTTGTTCATGCCTAGTCCTGTGCCTGGAATTCCCTCCTGGTTCTAAACTCTGCCTGCTGAAACCCCACCTGCCTACGAAGCCCCATCTCAAATGCCAGTTAACTGTGTGAGGCTTCTTCTTTCAATCCCACGTAGACCCGTCTGTCTTTCCAGACAGCGCTGTATAGATGGAAGGGCATGCTGGAAAATCACGGTTCCAGTCCTGGCTTTGCTGTTTATTTGCTACGTAATCTTGGGGAAATAAGTTAAGCTTGATTAGCCTGAGCTGTCTCATGTCTCAAGTGGGGATAATAATCTCTCTTTGAAATGGTATTATGAGATGATTCATGAAAATATATGCCTAAGGCTCAGTATTTAGAAGGCACACAGAAAGTATAATTTCTTTCTCTTAAGTTACTTTGTATCCTTACTGACCCTTATGTCACACTATAATTACTTGTTTGATTCAGTCACCCCCTACCGGACCATAAACTTGAAGAGAAATGATATTTTATACTTTTCTCTTTTACATCTTTGTCCTGGTTATTTGCTACTCACCCATCACTTCCAAACAGGGATGTTTTCATCAGTCATGGAAGGACCTCTCAGCCCAGGTTGCCCTAAGAATCAGGAAGGCTTCCTAGGACAAGCGTGCCTCTCATGCACACAGCTGCTTTAGCTGCCGACGAAGTCTTTTGTTCCTAAAGGAAGCGTACCTGGGAGACACAGCACATGCCATTAATCTATTTCATGCTATGCAAATCTACATGATGGTGAAGCTGACTGATGTATCCGACCCCAGCATTAGGTTTACTGGGGGTGCAGTTTTCAACACCTGAACAAGGGCAGGAATGACAAGGGAAGAAGAAAATCAGGTGTCAAATGACAAGTCTCGGGCTTCTGAGGCCAAATTTGCTTCTTTATAACTTTAACACGTAGGTTTGGGAATGGGAAGAAAAGAAAACTCGAACACATTGTTTGTGCTATTTGCCCATGAAAAATATAAAATGTGTGATTAAGAAGAAATATGAAACTGTCATAGGAAGGAGATGCTTGAATTTTCTTAAGATTTGTGCTACATTGTTCCTCATTAATATATTTGATAGAGAAATAGGTGTATTGATTTGCAAAGAGAACGGAAGACGGGATGTCAGTGGTATATCATTTTGTCCTCATTCAGTCCCTGGTAAAGTGTGTGACTTAGGGTAAACAAAGCATCTCACTTCTATCTCTTTTACTTTTCTTGTGAATAAAACGAGAGAGACAGTAGTGGCTATTTTTAATGATAACACTGGACATCACAACGGGACCCAAGGGGCTTGAGAAAAGTGGGCTCTGGGTTCTGAGGTCACGGAATGCATGTCTCCACATAAGCACAAAGTGGGAAGGAAATATTCCCTGTGATTCTGAGCCGTTGGAGGGGGTGAGCCTCTGGGCCAGCCGCCTCCACTGGCTAATGACTACAATGGGCCAGCATTACGGAGTGCTAACTGTTTTGAAGCCTGACTTAAGAAATCGCAAATGTCAGAAAAACTACACAATTGAAAGTAATTATGGAAATTTGAAGGAACCCAAACCATTTCCAGAATTCAATGATTCCTGTCCAGCCAGAGGTATCCTTCTTCTCGCTGTGTGAAATATTATGCAATTTGCTCTAAGTACCTTGGATATAATTTGTCCACATTTCTACCTAACACTTCTATAAGTTATCAGTAAAAAATTTCCCTTCAACAAACTGAATGTACTTTAGATAGTACTGAAGCTACTTGCAATCCTTTTTGAAACAAAACAGAATAAATAAATGTCTTACTACATAAATATACAAATGATATATTCTGCTGACATAATTTGCTGCCTATTGAGTTATTATCATTTCAATGCTTATCAATCTTTTTTCATTTGTTCTATTCTGTTTCACTAATGACAGGGAAGGAGCAAGGAACATTTGAATTAGTTATGCAAATGCATTAGTATTAATCTTTCTAGAAGTTGGTGTGTTCATTAGTATCAGTAAAGCTATTTCCAGGGCCATTTGTGGAGGTGTAATAGGTGACAGAAAAATAGCATACGATAATAGACTAAGAAAAATATATTTGAATTACAGCAAATAAAATTTAATCTAGGTTTCACACAGGACATTTCCCTCTGGAAGATAAAACCTGTAGTTTTTGGACCTTATTTATAGTCTAGCCAGATTACGGATAGAAACGAAAGAGGAACTTGGTGTGGAGCATGTTAATGAATTTTCATATTTTTCCTTTTTCTACAAATGGGAAATATCTAATATTTAAAGTTGTAAGTCAAATTTTAAGGAGGTTCATCAAGAACCTTCAAAATCATTTTGGGGGGGCTCTCTTTGGGGTGAGAGTCAGCAGCCTTCTTGTCTGACCCATGCAATCAGGAGAACAGGGTTGCAGTCCTGACGAATAATGATCCACATTTATATGCGGGGCTGGGCGGTAGTGCAGGATTCCTGTGCATGTAGAAATAATTGGGCAATTATTCTCATTTCAGGACTGAGGAGGGTATAGCAGAAGCCTGCAAATTATATGCTTAGAAATTCTCTTGGCCGAAAAGCTCCTATACAATAAAACTTTTGTGGTGCTTCTTTTCCATGTTTAGTGTTCTTTCATTAGTAAAACTGCTTGGGAAGATGTGGTTAATTTCATGTTCGGATTAACACCAATCATGAGTTACTAATAGAAAACAGAAAGCATATTAGTAATAAAAATTTGAAAACTGTGCACTGAACATTTTAATGAATGATCATCAGAAACATAGTTATATTTTTGAAAGGGAAAATGTTGAATAGCATGTAGTCAGAATGACAAAGCCTATATTTTGCTGACATAGGAAAGAGTCAAAGGTTTGCCTGTTAATCTCAGTATGCTAAAGCAAATTGGACTGGCCTTGAAGATGGGCTTTATCTCTATCCATCTTTTTGTCCCTGGGTTCTAGCACAAGGGCAGGAGATCCGGCAATGATTGCTAAGCAGCATAAACAATTTTAAATCATAGAAAAACCCCCAAGCCTGATTCTAGCCAATAATTCCAACCACATTTCCTACTAAATCTTTTATTCATGCACTCAATACCGGTTTCAATTGACCAGTTTGAATTTCATGTCTTTTTGACACTGTATTTATGAAGACTTTGAATCAATTATTTTGTTCTTAAAATGCTTTTTGGTAACCAATGTATATGATAGTGAAAAAGAGGGAGAAAATCAGTATCAAAGGAATGGTTTTGTGAGTGAATGACTGCATGAGGAATCCAATGGATGCAATGTCTTACCCCCCAAGGCTACAAATCTGGAGGACAGCATGAAGCTGCCCCAGTAGACAGGTTGATCTGTAGCTGACACAGGTGCCAAGAAGACACCTGTCCCCTGAGTCATTCATGGTCATAAGGTGAGTCGTGTGAGGTCATTACTAATTGTGACACTCAGAAAGACTCTCATGCTGTGAATTAGCTTTATACACATCAGTTGATAAGTGCCCAAAGATCTTACATGAGCAAAGTGGTGAAGGTCTATGTGTTTCCAGTTCTTCACTTCAAAGGAAAACATGGCAGCATGATGACTTAAGTATACCTTGAGCAGTTCATTGAATACCAAATAAATAATACTACGTAAAGCAACAACAGTAAAACAACTCCCTAAATTTTTCAGCTTGTATAAAGGCATCCTCTTTATTCTCTGCCCCTATTGTATGGTTTTGAGAAGAGAGGTGAGAAGGCAGAGATCCTTCCTGTTTTGCTCCCTGCTGTATTCTCAGTGGCATACAGCAGAAACTTAAGGAGTGTTTGTTGAATGACTGTTAGAAGGGGTGAGAGAATTATGGACCCAAGGCTGAGTATAAGGCTGAGTAGCTGATACATTGACACTTTTCTTTTTTGTTTTGTCTTTTCTTACATATATTTTGTCTATTTTTTTTAACTATAATTTCCTTGTATTTTTTCCCAAAGGATAATTTTTCTTCAGTCCTCAAAGACTCAACTCCTTACATGGGCTTTGGTGGAGGTCATGGGGCAGCACCCACAGGTCTAAATCCAGGTGGGGGTGTTGGGTCTACCTTGCTGTGAGTGGCACAACTCATGCGGTAATGCAGCTTCACATACAGCTTGGGAAGCACATAGGCATTGACGACACTCGCTTTAGAAATGTCCCTGACACCTGCGGCTTCCACTACGTTCCAAATGATGAGCTTCTTCATAGCCTTGTCTTTAGGCACTCGTTGGGTGCAATTTGTGCAGTGAATAGACATGGCTTTTTTTGGCACGACTGGTGTTCCTTCTTTTCTGTTCTGTCTTGGAAGTGAGGGCTCCTCGAAAGAGCTAATCTTTTCAAGCTATTGCTTTTATACCTTGTAAGGATGTAATGTCCTATACCACTATGGGTCACACGACAATGAATCATAAGATGTGAAGTCCTTGGAGCATTTCCTCATTACTCTGCATTAATTTACCTATTTATCCACTTAACAAACATTTGTTGTTCCTTTTATAAGGTATGTGTCACTATTGAATTTTGTCCTGAAAATAGTCCTGTATTAAATGTTATCCTCTAATGAACCTTATAGTTTGGAGCAAAGATTGAGCAGTAAAAAATAGTGAGAAGGATCTAAACTGATCAAAAAGGTCTAATAACATGGACCATTAATCCCTAAAAGTAGAGTATTTCACTGAGAAGTATTAAATTGTAGAAAGAACAGGTCTAATAAATATCACCCTAGATACTGTCAAAGAGAAATAGCTGATACCAAATTGGCTAAAGGAAGATTTAGTTGTAAGATCTTTTGAGAATAAAAAGTTGGAAGAGATAATAAAAAAATATAACTTTTAACTGATTTCATTGCAGTAGCTAATAAAAATACTTACCCCGCTATGTGACCTGGAACCCAGTAAAATAGAATTTTGTAGTCTTGAAGTTTCAGATTACCTTTCTACCTTAATAGGCTTAAAGGCTTAAAACATTTTACTTAACTAGTATCAAATACTTCTTAATGAACATAAACCATTGCGAAAGAAAACATGAATCCTAATAGATTTCCATTTGAAATTGGAAGGAATATTAACATCATTATGTCCAAATTTCCCATCTTCTAGAAAGGAAATTTAGGTCAAGAGATGTCAAGTGACTGATTCAGTGTTACACAACTAGGGTACATGACTTCTACTATACTATTGTTCACACTACACAGCCCTTGTACATTAATAAATTATTAATCCATTGTGCATTAATAAATTATCTTTCAGGTCTAGCACAATTTTGCTTGATTTTGAATGGTCTAACTTAACTCAATGAGTTTGCCAGGTAATTTCTGTACAGACCTTCAAGACCAAAGCTTCCTCCAGATCAGCTGAAATCTACTTGAACCCTATTACCAGGTAGTATTTGTTTGACTACAGCAAAATATTACTAGCTGGAAAATTACCTGAATTTAAATGTGATTGGCTCAAAGACTGACTTATACCCTTTTCACACATTATTAGTGGCAAGTCAGTAAGAGGAAATCCAACGTTACTAACCAAATGCTCCTCATCCTTGAAATATCCCAAAGGCATATTTATCCTCATTTATACAATCCAGGTAACCATGTTACAAATGAGGAACCAAGAAAGGTCTCAGGACAAGTACGAGGCAGAGCTGCCATTAGAATTTCAGTCTTCTTTCTCCTCCAGCCATAGTCCATTTTATGTAGCAACTTGGCGAGGCTATGGTGCCCAGTTGTTTGGGGACATGTAAGTCTGGACATTGCTGTGAAGGTATTTTTCAGAGTGAAAGTATTTTGCAGATGTGATTAACATTTTAATCAGTAGCCTTTTAGTAAAGCAGATGCCCCTCCCTAGTGTGGGTGGGCCTCATCCGCTCAGTGAAGGCATTGGGAGAAAAGGCTAAAGTTTCCTGAAAAAGAAAAAAATTCTCCTCAAGTTGCCAGCACAGAAGCCCTGCATGAGCTTCTACCTTGCTGCCCTACAGAATTTGGACTCAAGACTGCAGTACTAACTCTCTCCTGAATTTCCAGCCTCCTGGCCTGATCATGTGAGCCAATTCCCTAAAATTTGTCTCTCTCTCTCCCCTGCCATCTCTGACTCCTATTGGCTCTGTTTTTCTGGAGAACCTTGACCAATACTCCTGCAGTCCCCAGCCCCTGGACCACAGGCCGGTTCCGCTCCATGGCCTGTTAGGAACCAGGTGGCACAGCAGGCGGTGAGTAGAAACAAGCGGGGAAGCTTCCTCTGTATTTACAACAGCTCCTTGTCATCGGGGCATCCTGCATAGGCTCTGCCTCCTGTCAGATGGGCAGCGGCATTAGATTCTCACAGAAGCCTGAACCCTACTGCGCATGCGAGGGATCTAGGTTGCACCTTCTTATGAGAATCTAATGCCTGATGATCCGAGGTGGAGCTGAGGCGGTGATGCTAGCGCGGGGGAGAGGCTGAAAACAGAGATTATCATTAGCAGAGAGGTTGGACCGCACAATAGAAGTAATGCACTTGAATCATCCTGAAACCACCCCCCCGACCCATGGTCCATGGAAAAATTGTTTTCCATGAAACTGGTCCCTGGTGCCAAAAAGGTTGGGGACTGCTAAATATTCCTTCCGTGCTCCATGTACTTTCTGGTGTCCTAAAGCTGGACTTGGAAGTGAGCAAAACCCATCCAGGTGGGGACCACAGGCCCTTGCAGGAGGGCTGGCCGTGGACCCGACTCCAGCTGAGAGGCTATTCGGAGAGACCTCGCCCTAGCCCTGCAGAGATCCCCACGGGAGCAGCAGAGCAGGTTCGCGACCGTCGCAGCTGCTAACGGTGCGGGGGCCAGCGGCATCAGAAAAGAAATCATCGGAGCCTTCCTGAAAGCCCTGGTGGAGTAAATAGGACTAAAAGATGACAGTATCAACAAAGGGTATTTTCAGGAAAAGAAGCTGTGCGTCCTTGCATAATCAAAAAAGATGTATACGAAGACATCTTGCAGAATGCCTTTTTGGAAGGACAAAAACAAAAAATTCCTCCTACCCAAAGTAAAACATCACCATTCTTGAACAGAAAGGAATTTAGATTCTGAACTAAGTGCTTTAATGAGGGACAGATAATAAGTGTGAATTGAAACTAATTGGTGTTTCAGATCACTGAGCTGGTTGAAAAACCATTTGTGATGAGGTCTGTATAAGTTAACAGTCACTTTTAAATGCCTAATTAAACATCATTCTGTCCCTAGTGAGAATAAAAAAATGTATTGTCGCTCATTGCACCATACTTAACCAAGTGATTAAAGTGGGAAATCTGAACAGATTTATTTTCTGTATCTGTGGTAAAAGCTCTTTTTTCCCCAGAGTAGGCTGATGTGGGTAGTATTGGACAATGACACATTGTGTCATATGCAGATGGGAATACCACCTCACGGTGAGCACGCAGAATGGGCTAAGGTGACAAAAAAGCCACGAGATTCTAGTGGAACAAAAGGAAAAATAAAGAGACAACGTGAGAGGTAGGTCGATTGTGCTTGATTTTTCCCCCTATCCTGGGAATAATAATTAAAAGGACATTGATAAGAGGTTTTAAAAAATTACGCTCTTTGGGCTCTAAGGATTGAGGGAAAAGAGTTTGAGATAAATTCTATTTGAGAGAGATGAAGGTTTTTACTTGTAATTTTGTTTGACTATTGGTTGAAGCCCCTGGAATTTAATGACAAGGCATCAAGAGGACAGTCTGACGGGGGTAGGGGCAGTGCGTGGCGGGGGCAGGACAGCTTGCGCTGTGGAATCGTTTTCTGGGTTTAGGGAGTGATGAGCTGTTCTGGAAGTCGAGTAATTCCTTCCTTCCTTCCTTCCTTCCTTCCTTCCTTCCTTCCTTCCTTCCTTCCTTCCTTCCTTCCTTCCTTCCTTCCTTCCTTCCTTCCTCCCCTCTTTCTTTCTTTTTTTTTTTTTTCTTTGACAGGGACTCTCTCTATAGCCAGAGTAGAGTACAGTGGCATCATCAGAGTTCACTGTGACCTCAAATTGCTGGGCTCAAGCGATCCTCCTGCCTCAGCCTCCTGAGAAAGTGTCTGGCAGGCTCTGTGCACAAGGTAGGGAGAGGGTAAAGGGGACCTCCCTGTCCTTGCACCTCCCCTGCTTCCCGCCTTCCTCTCTTCCTTCCGCCACAGCTTATGTCCTGGTGTAAAGAAAGCAGTTATTCTATGGCCTTGTTTTACACCAATAGCGGCATAACGCTTAAAGTAAAAAATGTTGTTTCTGTAATTAACTTCCCGAAACGTTTTAAAGGTAGTTGATTTCAGTCTACTTGAGCATAAGGTCAGGGGAAGTTTTTTCCTATAATTCCAGAAAACTATAACAAAAGACTCCCTGAAACCAACACCATAAATGTTAAGAAAAAAAGAGAATTTTTTAGATTTTTTATATTCTGGAGAAAACTCTCAAGGTACTTGAGAGTTACTCAAGTAACTCTTTCTTTTGAAAGAGTTATCTGAAATATCCTTTGATGATGCAGGTGATTACAAGCGATGTCTTAGGGACAGGGACCTAGAGGAAGGGGAGGGGGGAGATGGAGGTTGGGGGCAGCTGTAGGGAGCAGGAAGAGGACTTACTCCATCAGGGTGACACCGTGTACATCTCACCTCCTCTCTCTCCTTCCCCCTGAGACTCAAAGCAGTTGTGACACATTGAGGCATTCACGAGGATGGAGCTATATTTATGTGCTGTGGCTATATATTTATTTAGACTGGTATATTTGTGTGGCTATTCATTACTTCTTAATAGCATTTCTTCCCCCATTCCTTTACATAACCATCTGCTTCTAACAGCACTCATGGCTTCCTATACAATATTTGCCCTGATATCTGTTCAGTCAACTGATCAATAACAGTCCTGGCTTTGGAGACCACATTTTCTTCCAGTCCACCTCAGACCACACCAGTCTGTTTCCTTTCTGGAAAAAAAAAAAAAAAAAAGGATTACGACATAGGTAATCCTATGTTCAGCGGTTTTCCACCTTCTTGACCATAGCTGGGTCAGCCCAGCCCTGCCTGACTGCTGCCAGCCAATGAATGGGATCGCCTGTTTGGAGATCCAGCTATAAGTTTTCTTCAAGAAGGACCAACTCCTTCTAATTTAAGCCCCCATTGCTTGATTACACCAGCACGAGTGGCATTGCCGTTTTCTTAGAGGGAAAGCAGTCTAGTGATACGGTCATCTACATCAACAGCTGTGGAATACTTTATATGCTGTACAAAAAAGAACAAAGTTTCATTGACAAAACTGTTACA